TGCGTTCCGATACGCCACGCATTGGCTTAACCTGTGGCCCCATGTATCCCAGCCGGAGACCTCGCCTACCCTACTCTGGACGGGGGAGGTTGGCGATGCGTCGGCGTTTCGGGTCTGGGGATCGATTGCCCTTGTCCGCAATCCTCCCGCAGGCAAGCTCTCTCCTCGCACTCTTCGCTGCGTCGTTCTTGTCTTTCCCACCGACGCCCTGCCTTAGCAATTTTACCACCTGGCTACATGCCACGTCCTTTCATCTTGCGACCTCACTCTTGGCGAGTCTGTCTGCTTCTATTGGCTCTTCCCCCACCGCAGTTCCCCGGTGCCCCCCCCCCCCCCCCCTTTGCCTCGCTTCCTGATTCCAGGTTACCCTCCAATAGACCCTTCCCCCCTTTCGCGTCCTGTCCCCTCTGGTGTGTCTCAGGTAGCATCACCCCCTTTGGTTGAGCCTTTGGAGGTCTCATCAGGCCCCTCTGGCCCAGCTGAGAGGGTTGACCCTATTGCTGGTGACACAACGTCCTCTCGCCGTTCCCCACGCTTGGAGACTGTCACAATGCGAACTTAAGCTGGTAAGGCCTACGCTTAGAAGCGTAGGCCAAGGGTGTCGAGCGGGTTTTGCAAGGAGAATCTCGAGAATGGTTGAGTTCAATATTGCACACAAGGTAGATATAGCAAACTAACAAAGGTGCACCACCAACAGCAAGATAATATAACTACATTAAAGTTAAAGCTACATGCAGTTATACATATATATGAAAAATATATAGCAACACACCCCCTTAATTGCCTGCAGCACATAGCTTGAGTAAGTCACACCCCCTGAAGGGGTATAGCTGGCGCAGTGGAAGACGGCAGAGAGGTAAGTGAGGAGGAGGAGGAGGGGAGAGAGAGAGAGAGAGAGAGAGAGAGAGAGAGAGAGAGAGAGAGAGAGAGAGAGAGAGAGAAGAGAGGAGAGGAGATAAGAACGAAGGAGGAGGTGAGAGAGGGATGAGGAGAGGAGGTGGGGGGGGCGTAGCGATCCCCTCTTACTAACCCCCTTTTACGAAGGGGGGGGTGAGTGAGGGATGAGGAGAGGAGGTAGGGGGGCCTTGGCGATCCCCTCTTACTAACCCCTTTTTACGAAGGCGGAGGTGAGTGAGGGATGAGGATAGGAGGTGGGGGGGCGCGACGATCCCCTCTTACTAACCCCCACATCCCCACCCTCAATCAACCACCCCCCTTAACCTCACCCCCCTTATCAGCCAACCCCCCTTAACCTCACCCCCCATTTCAGCCGCCCCCTGGAACCGCACTCCCTTCCACACCACCTCCCCCCCCACAGCTGCAGTGGCGGAGGGGAAGGCGACGAGAGAGGGGAAAGGGATCATCCCAAAATGTGCTGGTTTCGATTTTTACGTAGGAGCAACTGTAGGGTAACTTCTCTGTAATTTTTTCAAGACATACTTCAAAGATTGTGGCCAACATTCCTGGTAGTAGCTTTGGTTGGAGTTGGCCTGAAAGAAACTTCTTCGAATTTGTTCTCGCTTAATCGCAGCCGCACATCTACGTGCTTTGGAAAATTTACCCCCTCGTAACTATGAACTGGTTTGGCCAATCGCAACTCGTCGTTCTCGATACTGATTGATTTGGTCTGTGAAGTCGCGATTCGAGATTTGGCGATGTAAGTTTCCCGCGTAGATTGGAACCGATTGAATTTCACGCACGTGATATGTTCTAATTCGTCGACGCGATGAATGAATAAGTGTGATAGACTCTACTAGTACATTTACTATTTTTTTTAAGATGCCGATAAACGAAGAATTCATTTACGATTATATTGAATTCAGTTGCTACTTTATACAACAAATATTAACATATAATATTAATTAGTCTGAGGGTACACAAATTTTCAAACGAGACAGACATAAAATTTTGTGTATTTATAATGAGAAAATTTGCAACCCCAAATTATGAATCACAATGCAATACAACACTTTAGGTGCTGCATCTATAAGCCCAGCAATGGGATTATATAACCAAACGGTTATTTTACATAAAAACACGGATCACACCAACCTAGCTTGCACCACCATGCAAAGATATGGCTGTCTAGCCTTCTAGACGAACGACTGTTTTGGGAGAAAACAGAGGGGTGAAGAGGGTGTGAGGGAAAACCGTAAGCACATGGGAAAAAATGTCTGGCGGATAGGGAGAAACCAGAGATGTAGTCACACTCGGTAGCAGTAGCGCTAGCTTAAAAAAACAAGGCATGTTTTCTGGGGGGAAGCAAGAATGAAGGGGTTCATCCCCAAAATGTTGCTGACCAAAACCTGACCTTGACGCGAATCTGGCCCTAAGCTAACCCGAAAGTCACCCCAAAGAAACTTTGGGGTCAGAAGGACAGGTTCGGGTCAGTGAGTTTTTTTTACCCAAAAGTAACCTGACCTGTACGTGACTCAAAACTGACTCAAAATCTGCACAACCCTTGGGGATAGGGGATGCGGGTTTGATTCTTGTCGCTGGA